CTTCAATGCTCAGTTTAACACTTTTACGGTGATAAAAGCCATTGTCTAAAACTTACGAAACACAGACGTATTCAGAAAGAGTATTGACAGAGTCGCCGCCAGAACAAAAGCAGTTTCATTGCCTGTCTGACATCGTATCACCGCTGAACAATAAATAGGTGTGAATATTTTAAGGCATGTTGTCGAAACAAATGAATAGGATTAGGAACAATGCAGTTTTGGAACAGCTGGTTGAAACAATTAAGTCAGTCACGGTCTTGTTGAATTGGGGGTGCGGTTAGTAATAGGTACTTTTCAAGTTTTCAATTTTTGTTAAGAACTCTTTAACCCCAAAGCCGGAATTGGGGGTGCGGTTACTATTACGTATGCGGTTTATATTAGGACTTTAACGGTAGATCGTCACATAGTCTCAGAGTATAAGAGTCACAGAAATAAGATAAGTACTTGAGATATCGATGAAAAAGCGCAAAAATAACTAATTATTATGCAAATCAAGTAAATATGCACTGATTTTAAAGTAAAACTAATATGGACTATGCAATGTCACAGACAATCTATGTATGATGTTTCATTGAAATGTGATTAGAACCAACAAATTATGAATTATTATGCAGATTAGGTAATTAATATTAATAGATTTTAATGAATGAAATGAATGAAAATACCAAGTGTTTTTAAAATTTGATTTTTGTTCTTGGAACTTGCGTATCAATACTCATTACTAACTGCCTGACTATGGTTTTGAATTCATTGCAACATTGTAACACAAATCACATTAAGTAATCAGACTTGAATATTTTCACAAAATTAAGTCTTCAACTTCTTTCACTCCATGCATAACATTACAAGAATAACCCCAAAAATAATTATTTAGAACATAATTATAGTGACAAAAATGTTAATGTACCTTAAATTAAAAAAGCAATTTTATTGTGACAAGTACTAATAGTCATGTGCATTTACTATCGTTTCAGTCATTCTTTGAACAATTATGTTTAACTAAATATTGTAAACATTTACAACATTGTCGGTAAATGTACAGCAATTGCTTCCAATGTTGTTGAAGTTGTTTTGCTACAATCAAGTTTGTTTTGATACATTCGCGGCGCACCCAGACTTCAAGTCGCCGCTCCACTGTCCAATCACGCACTTTTTGTCACATTCACAGTCATCCTGTTGCGGAGTAAACAAGGATTCCCGACTCCACCTACGATTCGCGAAAAGATAGTTGAGCTGTATTTAGAAGGAATATCTTTTGCTGACATAGCGAAAAGGGTTGGTGTGACGAAATCTACTGCGTATAATATATGCAAAAAATTCACCTCAACTGGTGATATTGAACATGATATTGGAGGTCCACAGCAATGCCCGAAACTTAATGATAACGTGTTACGGCACATCGAATTATACAAGAAGACCAAACCAAGTATTTATTTGAGGGAGATTAGAAGAAATTTAATTGCCGAAAATGTGTGTACCATTGATACTGCCCTGTGTTTGTCGACTATTCATTGTGCTATTACTAAATATTTGGGGATGAGCCAAAAGAAGTTGACCAGTGTTGCCGCCGAGCCTAGGACGGAACGCAACGAAGAGTGGACTCAGGATTTCATAGATATTGTTACCAACTATGATGTCGAGCAACTACATGAATCATCCGTTATTGAACCTACTGGGAATCGCGTGTACGGTCACGCTGAAAAGGGAAAAGCTGCTATAGAAATCCAGAGACAAGCTACCAACGCAAATTACACTGTAAATTTACTAGTTAGCTCATTCGGGATCTACAACGTCAACATTATTGATGGTCCATCAAACGGCTTGGAAATGGTTAATTTCTTTGAAGAAGCCGTGAGGACCGTGGACATTTTTGGAAATCCGGTTTTATCTCAAGGGGATTGCGTCATTTTAGACAACTGCGGATTCCATCATGGCCGTCAAGTTGAGCCAGTTCTCCGAGAGTTGTTACGTGGACAGGGGGTTGAACTTTTGTTTCAGTCCACAATTCAATGTATGTAAACTTTGTTTTTGTTATTTAAAGATATATCTGAAAAATAACGAGGAGTTCACATACAATATCACTGAACTAGCCATTGCAGATGCTCTCACTCGGATTGGACCGGGCATATGTCGGCGGTTTGCTTTCGACTGTGGCTATATCTAATTTGTGGCTATAATATTTAACTTTGGCCTTGTCTCTGAGACATAAACCAAACAGCCCTTTTCAGGGCCACCACATCCTTCGAAAGAGAATACCATAGTGTATGTGTCTGAATATGTCTATAAACTGGAAATGTGTGCATGCAGTTGTAGTATCAATTATAATATCAATTTGAATTTCGCTCGTGAGGCGGTCGATAAAACTGTTGTAATTTAAGTCATCACTATGAAACTCAGCTTGTGATATATATATTGGTATAATTCTTGTATCCCGATAATAAACAAACTCTACTTTGAATAAGTATTCCGCCATGACTGTCAGTCCGATCAGGTCCGAGTTGAAATGCGTTGTGGGTCCAATGACGGCGACTAGAAGTCTGGGTGTGTCGCGAATGTATCAAAACAAACTTGATTGTAGCAAAACAACATTGGAAGCAATTGCTGTACATTTACCGACAATGTTGATAATAACTTGCTGTAGTGTAGGAATATTTAGTTAAACATAATCGTTCAAAGAATGACTGAAACGATAGTAATAGAAATGAGCACAATGTGTGTGAATATAACATTATTACCTTGCCATTGGGAGAATAGTTCTCTCTTCATTGTAGTCTCCATCACACTCACTAATGTATTCTCTAAGTACAGTTAGGACACGTGTCATGCGCATGGACTCCTGACGTACTCTATTCTGAGAATCTTTATCTTTTTCTAAGACAGTAATGGTATCATAAGCTGCTTTCAATCGGTCCATACATGACTGAATAAAATCATCATGAATTTCCATCTGTACAAGTAGATACAATACAATGAGTGTCAGACTTGTATAGTAACATCCCATGCTTCAATGGAACGGCATTTGAAGTCATCCATGCCGGGTTCTGCCCAGCCAGATTTGAGTGCTGGTCGCTAATTAATATTCATGAGGTCATTTATTCTTGAGCTAACTAGCTACGATTTAACTACTTTAATTATTTTAACTTTTATTTTAAATATTTCAATGCAAAATTAATCTGATTTGATAAAAGTGAAAAAATATATATACTTTATTTTCGCAATAACGTCTAATATACATATTTTGAGACATTGACCTCTGACCTGGCAGCCATTTTATTTCAAAGCGTGTCGTTTGTTACAGCCAGAGTGGAAACAAGAATTTAATTGTTTTCTTTTCCAATGGAATGCTGGTATATCACATTAATAGTAAAAAATAAGTATTCCTTGTATCGCTGACTGAATATATCTTATGAATTGAATTTTATGAACGAGTCATGGAGCCAAAACCATCAATGAAGGTTACTACACTCAAGTGCAAGTGCAGATTAAACGAACGACAGCTTGACGCATCGCTGCCGGTTAAGTGAGCAAGTTATTGTTCAACTCGACAAATCCTACAAACAACTAAACTTGCAATGGTAATCCTTCCTTCTGTTTATTTATCATTGTCTTCCCTTCCATTATCTTGATATATGACTTATTCCGATCTGGTTCGTTTGTTAAAACTAACAGAATGTCAATCGGAGAAGGTTAAAACAAAAACACATTAGGCCGATGTCACACGTGTACGTTGATTTTAAACAGCGGGAACTTCTTTCAAGTTTTGTTGTGTGTTAATTTTTTGCATTGTGTTTTGTGTTAAATCTAAATCCAAATCCAACAAGGACTGATGGTCCAGTGGCCGACATCCTGTGTGTATCATAAACAAATAGAATAGTGCTGGTCGCCAACTTTTTGTCCTGGTCGGAAATTTTGAGTGCCGGTCGCTAGCGACCCGTGCCGACCAGCGTGGGCAGATCCCTGTCCATGTATTTATACAGTTTATCACTGAAGGTTCAGGAAAGCACCATTGATGTCATCTTAATATTTTTAGTTTAATGAAAACTGAGTGACTACATCATAGTCCGGTCGAGTGTGTTCTAGTATACTCAAATATTACATAATGTGACAAAAATGTCACAAATTTATAAACAAGCAGCCTGTCGGCTGAGATAGCTCCGCTGTTAGCAATGCACATGGCAATTAAAAACAGAAGATATCATTAGAAAATGAACAAATCTGAGAGAGGTCCACATGTAGTACCTATATGTATAATATATCAAAGCAATTGGACTTGCGGTTTTCAACAAGAAGTCGAAAATATCACTTTTTACCAAAAATTACAAAAATATTCATCAAAATTAGAGAATTAAAGATATCATCATGAAATGAACAAATCTGAGAGAGGTCCACATGTAGTACCTATATATGTAATATCAAAGCAATTGGACTTGCGGTTTTCAACAAGAAGTCGAAAATATCACTTTTTACCAAAAATTACAAAAATATTCACCGAAATTAGAGAATTAAAGATATCATTACAAAATGAACAAATCTGAGAGAGGTCCACATGTAGTACCTATATATGTAATATCAAAGCAATTGGACTTGCGGTTTTCAACAAGAAGT